TCTTTCGATTTTACCCGAAGTGCTCATCTATCGAGAAATCGAATTGCTTTCAAGTGGTCAACGCTATGCAACACCTTGCTTCATTGGTGCGCGAAAAGTCTATCTTGTTCGAGGTAACTCGGCGATCCATTCCATCTGATTATCCTATGTGAATTACAGACTTTAAAGGTATGAAACGATTGTAGACTCCAAAATATTATTCATAATGAGGGCTACAATGCAGTTACACAATCACTCATATTGCAGCCATATTCCTTTCACAGTATCACGATACGCTGTATCATTGCATAATTTGAATACAGATTGATCGAACCTAACAATAAGCCTGATAATCCCTCGGGTGCATCGAATAGCTGATTGTTCTTTAAGGAAAATATCCGGACTTGTTGACAACGGCATGGAATGAATTTGCAGCTGAACGATCGTACTATAATGATTGCCCAGAAGTACATGATGAACAACAACATTTCGTTATTTTTGAAAGTGCTGATGGCGGCGTTAATCTGGATGCTTTTAAGGTTTTCATGATAGATATTTTCCCAACTGATGCATTTTTTTCCGTTCTGTTCTTCAGCTCTCTTAAGTTTATGACGCTGCTCTATACAATTTTCGACTTGTGAATGAATGCCTAATAGTGATACTGGTTTCGTAGTGAGCATGGATTTTAAACTGGGCTTGGAGCTTAAACTCATGCAAAACATAAGCTGATCTCATGGACCTTTGGCGTATACTTGCAGCCTCATTTGGTGCTGTCGTATTTCGGTTCTAGAAGGGTCGACTGATGTGTTTATCCGGGATTTGTCTGGTCCCTCTGCATGTTTCATCTTTCACAGAAAAAACCCATCAGTGGGATTCAAGAGGTTGAATCCGGGATCTCGTACAAACACTAAATGCCACTTTAAGCCACCCCACTGACTGGTCAAGCAGGCGAAGGAATATTATTAGTGCGATTATTACGAATGAGAATATTTCTAGCAGTGGAATGGAATTTTTAGATCAAGATCAAGCGTTTCATTTTCATTAGTGAAATTAAGATCCAGCGTTTCGATCAAGTCATCTCCGTATTCGTCCAACTAATGCTATCGTTAGCGATTGCTGAACGCTTGCTGTGTTTTGAACATCGTGATCTGCATGCTGGTAACATTCTCATTCAGTCGGTTCCAATCAAAACAGATATCGAGTAGGTTTAACTGGACCAGTTCTGGTGTAATCATTTCATTTCACTCGAATTCCGTTTAATGTTATAAAGTGAATAATTAAAATTGAATATCTCTGGGATTAGAGAACTCTCCAGGATCAATACTGTTGAATCGTTAGGATAATGAAAAGTTTAAGGCGATTAAACTTCTTAAGTGCTCTCAAAGAGAAGCTGTGTCATTTTGGCCGAATACCTGTGCACTTTCCTAATTCTATCAGCCCTCAAGTACTGCATATGGCATTCATTTGAAATAGGAGAACAGATTGCAATTTGATAAAACGTTTTTTTTGTTGTTGTGAACGACGAAATAGTGAGGAATGATCTATGCAGTTGATTACTTTAAAGACTCAGTCTGCAAATGGAAGTTTGAAGATCCTTTGAACCCCACCAAAGCCAGGAAATAGTGATTCTATTTTATTTGGCCTTACATTATAACGATCAACCCCTAGTGAAATGATATTTGTATTTGTAGGTTTCGATTTCGTGATGAAACAATTAAAGTTCGTTCAAATGGAGTGCGAGTTTCAATTATCGATTTTTCATTATCAAGAATGAGTAAAGGTATTAATTGCTTCATTTTTGATCATCAAAGTCGCAAATTTGGATTTGCAGAAGAATGATGTGACAAAATGACAAAATGACAAAAATGACATTTGGATGTGACAAAATGGATTATGACAGCAGTTGCATTTTACCGATAACGGTATTAAAAGCAAAAATTTGATGTGATTCTGCCCATATTATGCAATGTTAGCACATTAAAAGCTGCAGGTATAGCTGTTATACGGACAGATTTGTCGAATGAAGAGGATATTTT